TCGTCGGTGGACTTCACCCCAGAACTTGCAAGTTCCTTATGGCTCAGTTGCATGCCCTTTTATACTTTTATGTAGATACCCAAATTTTCCTCCTTTTCCGCCTTCACGTAGGCGTTCGGCACGTCACCATGACGTGCTGGCACATTCCATCGTCTGGAAAGGATCAAAATCAACTTGGAGGTTGCCAATTCCATCACAGCCGCAAATGCCAGGTTGTAATTAAATCCAAACACTTGCTCGTCTCACAATCGATTGGCCGATCTTTGTATCGCTCGATGTCTCCATTCGCGTCGGTCTTCGCCTTGTACACTTATTTTTTGTGTAAGACGTGCGCCTTCCTGGGAAGCACGACAACCTCTTAGACGTCGTTTGCCTTTAAAGACTCCAGTTCTTCGGTCATGGCGACGCACCACTTGTCTCTATACTCGCTTTTCATGGCCTCCCCATAGTGCCTTGGGTCTAGATCGATGACTGCGTTTACCACGTCGCGTTGTTCCGTTGAAGTGTCCCCATTCGGCTTGACGGGTTGTCTCTTTGTTGTTGACCTCGTGCCATGACGTTCTCGATTTCATCCAGCCTTTCTATCCTTGCGAGTCTTCCTGGCACGCCGTTCGGTGTCTCGGGTCCCAGTATGGTCATCTAAATAGTCTCTGCATGACTCCTCCTGATAATCCATTGTCTCAGGGCCTATCTTGAGTGATCCGTATTGATCATCCCGTGGTGCTTAAATGCTTTGCACATGTTGAGTCACCACGACGATCTTATCCGCCGGGATATATACTTTTTACCCCTTCGTCTCACCGCCTCTTCCAATTATGATACCTGCCTTGCCTCGCTCTCCAAGTGATGCGTTCTTCGGGTTCCTGTGCACAGTGCAGGTAGGCCCAAAAGTCACGATGTCGTTCAGTGCAGGAGTCTTGTTCGTCCAAACTTCATGGGCGATACTCCACCAAGATTTGACTTAATTATGCTTCGGCTGAGTATGTTTGAAGCATACTCGGCGGCTTCACCCCAAAAGTAAAGCGGTAGGTTTTATTTATATTATGCTCCGCACCATATTCATGATCATCCCGTTCATTCTTTCAGCCTTGACATTGCTCGCCTGGTTCCGTACTTCACTCACTTGACGCGAGACACCCGTGGTGGAGCAAATTATGTCGAGTGTCTTGTACTCGCCTCCACCGTCAGTTCGCAGTACGTGTACTTTGCAGTTAAACTCTCGCTCAAAGCTCGCCATGAAAAGCTAAAACTTCAAAGGTGCTGCTGCATCATTTGATTTGGCCAAGAACACCCGACAGTAGCTGGACCGGTGGTCGATGAAGTTGACAATGTACCGATTACCCAGGCAATCCGTGGGGGTAGTTATCCCCTTAAGATCCGAGCAAATTACTCCACCGATCACGTCGATAGGTGAGCTCGCACCCGTGTCCTTCTTGGATTGCGGTCGTTTCGTTTGCTTTCCCTTGGCACATTCGAGGCACTTTTGACGAGTCGTGTCAGTGAGAAGAATGCCTGAAGCTGGGTCTTTAACTATCTTGATAATCGTATTGAAACGTAGGTGTCCCAGAAAACGATGAAAGTGCATCAAAGTACCACGCTGAACGTCCAAATCGTATTCAGGTTCAGGTAAATTGACCACCGTCATCATTGCCTCACGTGGTGGCTTGGCGTCTTGATCTTCTTGATAATTTACTGCAACAACCAAAACATTGTTGCTACACGCCATATCCATGATGGGGGTGCCACCAACACCGGAGGACAACACACGTCTTACTGCCCGGTATTTAAGGATGCAACCTTTTGCCTCGATCAACCCATATGATAGGATGTTCCGTTCGAGTTTTTCCGCGTACTGAACGTACGGTATTCACCACGCCAAGTGTGGAAAATAGGAGGTCCACATCTCCTTGCTGGGTGATACACAGCGCACTTCCATCGGCGGCCGCGGTTAGGCACTCGCTCTTACACGAGGTCGGGTTGGTGAGAAGACTGAGGTCATTGACCAAGTGTCTGCTCGAACCACTGTAAAGTATCCAATGGTTCACGCGGGCGAAATTATCATTGTCGACCGCAAAGACGAAGTTCGCACCTTGGTTTTCCTTCTTGACGGAGGGACACCTCGGCCGAATGTGTCCAACCTTTCCACAATTGTGGCACACTCGTGTGTCGTTTCGAGTTCGGGGTCCTTTCTACTTCACATTGTACTTGGTCCTTCTTATGGGTTCCACGAAGTTTACCACATCTCTGCCAAAGTTTTTTGCATTCGCGCCGATCTCTGTTGACTGAGCAAATTGAGCTGGTTCTTCTGCTTGACGCAGGTGATCGACACGATGGATGTTCAGCCTGGAAAGCATCGTTGTCCGCATATTCGGGTCAGCATAATGAACTATGTTGTCCAATACGAGGCTGTCGGAACCTCCGCAGGCGTCGCTGACGGTCGTCAAGTAGTATATGGTCCGTCCAGCTTCTTTGTGACGCCTTAGGTGCCGTAAATAGTTTATGTTTTCTGCTGGTGAGATCTTGGTGATGAATGTCTGCAACATTCACTGCATCGTGTGTTCCAATGTTTGTTCTTCACGCCACCAAGTCTCCACTTGTCGTCGGTAGTAAGTCTGAGCCTTGTCGACCAAGTGTTGACCGAAGACATCGACCTTGACATTTTCTGGCCACATAATCTACACGCTCGCTCCGCGAAGACGACTTGGAGGATAAATCCTTGCCCCATTCGATGAACCATGTGCCGAGACCGTAGTACAGTATCTCACCGCCGAAGGGTTGTAAAGCGAGCTTTCGATCTCGTGCGTCTGGCATGCCGACTGCCGGGCGACCTGAGTACATGTATTATCGATTGGCCATGCCCATGTCGGGATGGTATCCCGCAGGTGAACCCGCTCCGTAGACTCCAGGGTCGGGTGTCTATACCGTGTTGACTTCCGGGCTTGCGACTCTCGCATGAGGACCTTCAACACCTGCCTGTTGATCTTGCCGCATTCCGAAGTATGTTGCTAGCGACACGTTTGGTGACGCTTTCGGAGGGGTACGCTACAACGCCTGGAGGTTTATCCCTGCTCCTACCTACCTCGCCTGCACAGCCGCCTTGGGCTCCGGTGAGTTCATATCGTTCTTGCTGTCTTGCTCTCTTTGGGAGAGCTCCATCCGGTTCATACTTTCGGGTAGGTCTCTCAGCATGACCAGCATTTATTCGATCGCCTCTAGGGCGCTACCGACTTTTCTTTCAGGTAGTGGGGGTCAGCCCTGCCTTGACCATCGCACACCACTGTAGGTGCAGCTAGGTCAGCCGCACCGACAACACGTTTAGTTAGGTTCATAACCTTGTTAGATGTTGTCATATGCACTTATGCAAAGGATGTAGGAAGTAAAAGTGAAATATATTGAGTGTTAAGAACTACCTTCGTCAACACTTCGATATGCATGACCAGAAACGGAAACTGCAACTTGACCTTGTCAAGTCACACATGGTGTCCGTCTCTCACAGTCCCATGTGTCAACCTGTCACAAATAGACCGTCTATCTTCGTCCCATCGTGGTCCCACTTGTCACGTCGTGTGGTAATCAGCCAATCAAGTGACACTGTCCCATGGTATCGCACTTGAACCTTGAAACCTGTCAAACAAGATAGTTTCTAACATCATCGTATAGAAGGAAGACGGCGGTCGTAATGCTGTGGTGTTGAGCGAAGAAGACGAGAAGCTGAAATAGCTAAATAAGATGTAGTAAAAGGAGACAGAGTTGAGAAGAGAAGCGCGCCTCCGATATGAAAACATTGGAAGAAGATGAACGCTACCTTAGCAGGTAAAGCGAATAAGGATAGCGAATAGTGGAAATAAAAAGGCGGGAGCTGAAAGGAGGGAAGTGGACTCCGAATGCTTTGATATTGACTATGGCCTATATTCCTGTAAATTTCATCATTTCGAGCTCGGTCAAAACTTAAATTCGGGCATTGCTCCATTCAATTCGAGCCTACTTGAATTTGAACTGGCCTGCTTATTACTATTTACAATACTTATTTGACTTAGTACATGCTATTTACAATACCTATTAGACTCAGTACATATTATTGGAATATTACCTACGGAAATAATGGTAAGCGCCCCTCCATCTTCAGGTTGATTATGGCCATTTTTACCAGGTAAAGTGTTAAATATTGATCGACTAGTGTAATGGGTCGTGAGCGAAACTCCCCATCTGGGGATTGTAATTTTATATCTTATATATTAAGATCAAGAGAGGTTTTATTAGAAGAACTATAAGTAAATGCAGTTCTAAATTTCTCTTCTCCTTTACGTGTTTACGTAAGCGAGTAAGGCTTCCTCTGCACGCAATGTGTACGCGAAAAATCGCGGCACCTGCCTACATCGTGTAATACACGTAGCATTGCTTAAGGCCTGACGCAATGGGAACTTGCGCGCAAAGTGTTTTCTTTTCAGACTGAGTTACAATTATTCGCCTAATTAAGCTTTAGTTGATCCGTGAATATTTTGCTCCCAAACGGTTTTCCGCGGATATAGTTTAGACGGATCCTGATTGATCCAATTTGATTACATTCGCCTGACACAGTGCATGTGCAAGATCGATCGACTCCTTTGGTACACTTTAAATATAGTGAATCAAAGAAGTATCGATAGCTTGTGCTGTGTCAGTACAAGCGGAGTAATTCCGTTTCACACAAAGCGTCGATTGGCGCACAGAGCTTCTAGTCCTGTGTCAAGAGACAACGATTTGTAGAATCAAGTGACAGCTACTGCCCAAGAATACACACCAAAGAAGGCTTCTGGACTCCATTGATCAAAGGACACTATTACAAGGCACATACGTGTCACTCTTCGAGCGAACTGCTGTTTATTCACTGATTATAACGGCAATAAAATACCACCGAAAGTACTTACAAGTAGTTTAACTCCCTTTTGGAGCGAAACCTGATAAATATCTTTCTGGGTAGTCGACACGCGTCAAACGCTTCGTGCGTACTTCGGACAACAATGATGGTAATACCCGGCGGTTTACCACACGGTACGCGTGTCCATCTCACGGTTGTAACATGGAAGTGCACCACTTTCACAGAAAATGCATGCAGGGCAGCTAACTGTAGTGGGGGTCAACATACACGCAGCGCAGGAGGAACCACGGTCCTCTTTCGAATACTGTGTTTGCTTTGTCCAAATTAATGTGGTTAACACGAGTCATATAACTGGCAAAGAAAACACGCCCGCGTTGTGGCTCGGTCCAACATATGCACAATATACCAGCGCGTAATCATACGTCATCGACGACACAGTTGGTCTCGCTGCTTTTTGGTGGTGGTGTCAAGTACGTCCATTATTATGATAACTAACGACTGATAAGTGTGACAAGAAGTACGGCCCGGGTATCGGGTCGACAACTAAAGGGCTCCGTAGATCCAGGGGCACGGCACACGAGGTCAGAGACCCTCCTACCGAAGCCATCTACGAGTAATCACGACCGCTGGCGCGACCAAGTAGACTGGGGACATGCGTACCGCCGGAGCGGCAGCACGTACAACGCGGGTATGCTGCCATATAAGGCAACAAACCCCTTTAGGACCGCTTGCGCGGCCCTCGACTTGGAGTGCGAACACCGAAGTGACTGCGTGGCGTGGAGAACGCCAACCCGCCGTATATCTCTCCGAGGAGCTCAACCATCTGCGATGGTGGCCCCTCCAGCCGCTCGCGCGGCCCCTTGACGTGGAGTGTGCGCTCGCCGCAGCGTGCGACACGTGGCGGGGGTACGCCTCCAGTCCGTAAAACACCGCTGCTAGCGCCACCGCCGCCGGTGTTCCGCTCGACGGACGACCTGCAGAAGCTCATTTCGCCTCGTTTTCTCGCCCGAGAAGCGCGCGCGCGACCCGTTCCGACCAACGAGTGGTGGGGCAATTTGCTCGCGTGGGACGGACAGCGCGAGAGCGACGCCGTGTTCCCCGGCCCCTACACGTACAAAGTGCTGTCGGCTCAGTCCGGGGACATGGGCAGCGGCTTCTCGGTGAGCTATTTGCTGCAGTACCGGACGGACGGCCCGAAGAACGAGAACGGCGCTCCTCGTTTCTACTATTACGCACCGACGATCAAGAACCTGATCTTCTCGGCCGTGCAGCTCGCTGCCCGATCGGGTGCACCTCCTTTTCGCATCCACATGTGGGACGACGTGGGCGTGCACCTCTCGATGGCTGGAATGAGCCTGTACTTGTCATTGGGGGCTGCGTTCACGACCGTGGAGTACCAGGACATGCAGGCACAAGTGGGTACAGAGCACGCTATTGTTGCTATCAACGGAGCTCCTGCGCGAGACGGCCACCAGGTCCACGGCAGCAGCTTTGTAATCTCGTTGAACAACGGACAGCAGTGGGTGCTCTACTTTTTCCCCAGTGCTGGTGGCAACACTGCGCTCGTGTACCAGGCCAACAAACTCACGACAACGTCAAACTTCACGGGAGTTGTGCAAGCGGCGTTCGTGTCGACAAGCGCAGAGCAGCCGAAGGGCCCGCAAGATACCCGCAAGATCCTGCAGCTGTACCACGCAAGTGCCGGCATTTACGCAAAAGGAGCTACGGTGCAGACGCTGAACGCAGACGCGTTTGTCTTTCACTGGCAGCTCGCGACGGCTGTAGGCTGCAACCCGGGAAATCGCTTCCTCCACTTTGCGTTGACGCACTTACAGGCGATGCTCGACCCGTCCACGGTGGAAGCAAGGCATGAACTTGTGCTGCATTCGCACACTCATGGACCGTTGTTCGCGTACATGCTGGTGACGCCACCGGGTTCCAGTCCGTCGTGGCTTTGCCACGTGCCCCGAGCGGACAGTCAGGGCGTCGAGGCGTGTGCAGCGTTTTATCCACCACGTGCTGGCTGCCTTACTGCAGAGGAGGTTCGAAGGTTGAACCTATGTCGCATCGTCACGGACGAGATTCACGGAGATTGGGCGTTACCTCATGAAGGAAGCTACTACTTCAAAGGAAAAGCTCTGCAGAAGTATGGCACCATGTGCCTTGTGGCCCGGCAGCTAGCAGACACGACGAGCCCTGAAATGCGGAACGTGGCGCAACATGGCGTATCGAAGCTTCAGCAACTGCTGTGCGAGTTTGCGAGCAATCGGTCGGCGTTCCCACTTGTGTACGACACAGTGTATAAGGGAATCATCTCGAGCGAGGCGCTGGTCAAGCATGACATGAATGTCGATTTTGGCAATGGAGTCTACAACGACCACCACTATCACTATGGCTATCCCATAACTGCTGCAGCCATGGCCCTCTACTTGGATCCACATTGGCGTCATTCGGCTGATGCCGTCAAGGTCCGAACTTTCATCGACGCTCTGATCCGGGACGTGGCTACAGCTTCACCTGCCGGCAGCGATCCGTATTTTCCGCGTTTCCGGCACTTTAACTGGTGGCTCGGTCACTCCTACTCACACGGTGTGACTCCGATGGCGGACGGAAAGGATGAAGAGTCGACATCGGAAGAGGTCAACTTTCTGTACGGCGTTGCCCTGTATGGCCAAGCCACGGAGAACGTCGAACAGCAGGCGCTGGGAAAGCTGATGCTCAAGGTCTACGTGCGCGCAGTGAACACGTACTTCTTGCTTCGGAACGGCGGTCCTTCGATCCACCCTGCAGGCTTTGCAAAGAACAAAGTCACGGGTGTCTTCTTTGACAACAAATGCGACTACACAACGTGGTTTAGTCCGAACAAGGAATGCATTCATGGCATCCAGATGATCCCCGTGTCCCCGATCCTCGAAATCTCGCGACCGCCACGCTTCGTACGAGAGGAATGGGACGAAGTGCTCAGCAAGTTGCCCTTTGTGCGCAAATGGAAGGCGCATCAATCCGGCTGGACGTCGCTGCTGTTTGCCAACTACAGCGTCCTGAACCGTGCAGCGGCTCTCGAAGTGCTTGCCACGTGTCCCATGGACGACGGTCTCAGTCGCGCCTGGGCGTTGTATTACGCGGCTACACGACCCCCACCCTCTTGCTAGGCTTGTCCGCATCTCCTTGCTGTCAGTTCTGGACAGCAATGCTTGACGCAAGCACCGCCGCGTGCTTGTCAAATTACTCGTTCATTGCTTTTCTCGACACTGGATTCCAGACTTGTTTGTTACGGAGGCGCCATCGCTTGCAACAGTGAATGAGCAAGCGTGCTCACTGCAGGTGACAACTGCAAGTCGCGCACCTTGATCAAACATCTACGAAGATGAAAGTCAACGCGCGTTCGGCAATGCAATGACAGAAGCAAGAGTCAGGCGTTCGTACCGGTCGATCAGCTGCTGGAGTTCAACTGGCACCAGCGTTCCAACGAAACCCGGAAATTTACCAATGAGAGCGCCAATCACCTTGAGTCCATTCATCGCAATCGACTCGCATTCCGTAGTCTTGAGACAAGCTATGGTAGCGTCGAATATCATGCGAAGAAGTTGCACATCGTTTTTGTCTTCCATCGAAATCACCTCGCTTGACTTGTACAACAACGCAAAAATGATCTACAACAGCAGCCACAGCCGAACAAATGTTAGCCGAAGTTGCTGAACCAATACTAGCAAAAAGCAGCTTCTACCTGGAAACCGCCGGCAGCAACATCATCGTCAGTGCAACACCCGGTTGCTACCGTAATGCGCGAAATAAGCCCCTGCGATTTCCAGTATGCAAGAACCCGGTCTTCTGCTCGTGAGATAGCACTAGGCAACACAAGCCACACAAACGTCTCAGTCTCGTCTTCCACTTGTTACGAACCGACGGCTTAGCGTACCTCAGGAAAACATTGCACAAGCAAACTCGAGCTTGTGGCGATAACTTGTGCTGGCTACCACCTCTCCGCTTATTGTACATCAATTCCTGCATGCGTGAGGTAAAAGTATCAGCATCGCGATCCACAACGTCTTCACGTCCAGCTCTGTCGAACGTCCACTCCATCAATAGGCTAATCAGAGATGGAGCATTCATAGTCGGCCCTTTCTCGCTTCTTCGTCCGCTATCGCACGCTGACAGTCCGACAAGTATCAACGCGATACAATCGATGCAGCCGCGTTGGATATCAGTAGCGGGCGGAGAATCCGATACTGACATCGACAGTTGCGTGCACGGGATCCCCAGGATGCGTACCAGCACGACAAGTGCTTTGGATACGATGTCTTCATCTTTGTTCGCATGGTCGTCCTCAGAAAACACTCGATTGAGATAATAGACCATCAACTTGGCAGTCACCAATCCACACGAATCTGGAACGTTTTCCGCAGCTACAACAGATGGAGCACAACTGTCGCCGCACGAAGCCTCTTCTCGTAAGAAAACAACCAAATACGCAAGAACGAATGGCAGCACCTGAGGCGGAGGGAATTTTGCTAGGCACTCCGTGGCGACCATTTTTACTTCTTTGAACTCCAGTGGATCCACGATGGAGCGGGCGAGAACGCAAAAGAGTGTTGTGCGTATCGAACCCTCCTGGTCTACACAGAGCATCTCTGGATCATTGGAAGAGCGCTTTAGCTGATGCTCAAGACGCTCGTTCAGGTGATCCAGGTCTTCGCGTCCACACTATAGCACGCACACGATCACGCACTGCAACTGAGATATTGATTACAAAGACTCGGTGGTGTCGTGATGATGCGTACCGGCAGCAATTTTGCACAAGCAGTCCCAAGAACATCTCGAGGAATCATTCGAAGCACTAGCAGTGGTGCCAACCGGGAGAACAGCAATCCCTCGATTGACGTTACTGCCGATGCGGATTCGTCATCCAGGCACTCCTCGCTCAAACGCGGCAGAGTCTAGAAACCAACGTACGGGTCAGTCTTGACCGCAATGATCTGGACGAACGGTCCTCACTACGCTTACCATCATTTGAGCCGTAACCTTCCTCCCCACCATTTTAAAAACTTCGTTGTCCACCCAGCCACACATCACGAATTCACGCAGCATCCGCAACAGCACCGCGTCACGAGGTGAGTCAAACACTTTTTGTATCAAAACACGTAAGACGTCACTGCGAGTGCTAGCGGACTGAACATGTTTGGCCCATCTGTACTTCACGAGGAAAAGCCACCATACGTTAGTAATAGTCACAGATACGTACCATCTTAGCGTAGGATTGTAGCGTACCCGTTTGGGCCAAAACAAAGCGAAAGCAACTCGTTCCGCACTTCTTGCGTCTCGTCTCCAGTGTTTTCCTTGAGCTGCATTACGTCATTCAGTTTGTGAGGAGATGCCTGGATCTCTTCGGAAATTGAACGGACTCGGGTGTTTCCAAACTGGCATGCATCAATAAACCATGACACCATGACTTCAAGGGAATATCGCGTCGATGCTAGTAGAAGGTATCCGAGCACCGATGTGACCACATGGCTCTTGGCGCCGCGGAAGTTGAGTCCGCACAATTCGGCAACGCAAGACACGACATCCAGCGACGACAAGCAAGAAAGAGCCTGATGAACATACAACGTCAGTCATCGTATCAGAAAGTGACACACATGTGAGCGCGACGCCACGTGCTTACACGTTGGCGAGTGTCACGTGTTTCATGTGCAGCGAGGCCTACAATACCCGGTGTAAGCACCGTGCTGTAAGCAAAAGATGCAGACTCGGTTACAAAACGTCGGTTCTATCGGCACGAATGAGTAAGCTTCAACACATTCAGTTCTCACCGATAGTGCTTGTGTAGCTGGGTTTGCGCAGTCGCTTTGTCCAGTCGGTACAAGAATGTCCGCACTAAGGACAAAATGCCCTATGCAGCAGAAACAAAAAGCACAATCAGCGCAAACTCTACGTGACAGCAACAAGATGTGCAAGATCCTATCAGAAATGCCATGTCCTACCTGGTCGCCATTGGTATGCGCGTCTTGCATGCGTCTCAGTATCTCCGTAAGACACAGTTCTCGAGAAACAATGAAGTCTGCCACGAAAAACTCCAGCTCTGTTTGCCCTCGTGGCATTCTGTCAGGAACCCCGCGCGCCGCGGAGGAGTTGTCATGTATCAGCAGTAATTGCGAAAGAAGTGCTTGCTCGTCATTTTGTGAGCTCAACAGATGTCGTATGTCCCTGGACAAAAGAACGGTCCTCAGGACCTTCAAAATGAAGAGCACTGTCCCTTCATCCCCTCTTTTGCCTGCCACTGACAAACCTTGGGCAAAGAAGAAAACAAAGCGTGCTTTCATTTCTGCAGAAATCTCGCCAAAAGTCTTGGCTTGTCCTTGCACTCCACCCATTGAGTCCATCGCTATACACACGTAGCGCAGTTGCGCGTAGAGTACCTCTGGATTGACAGCAATGGCGTTATAGTCACGCATCGCATTAGGCTGAACGGAGCTGAAAGCCCACTTCTTCAAGACTGATGTAAGAGTCTCTGACGGCCGAGTCTTTTTGATCGAACAGGACGTGTCAGTACGCGTGCAAAGTAGCGGAGCAGCTGCAATCCAGTGCCAGCATAGTACATCCAGTGTACCTGTAGCCTCTACGTTTGTGCCGTGTGCGGCCTTCCCTTCAGCTTCTTTCGTGCTGGACAAGATAGCACTGCACGGTGTGGCGTACGACTGCAGGTGTTCAAGCGCATAGTCAAGAAACAGGCGGTGCTTTGAGTGCATATGCCACCGTCGTAGCGCAGCCAAGACAAATCGAATGCACTCCACTGTCGCACGCATCAGACCTTTTACCACCAGCATCTTCTTCGCTTCTTCATTCGACGTCATATACTGCACAGCGATGTCCTCGCATAGCAATACAAGTGTTTCCAAGGCGATCAGCGCAAGCTTCGACAATTTCACGTGGCGCGAGTCACCGACCCGGATTGTTCCTCGCTCGACAACGGCACGCGTGGCGCTCAAGTACATCTCAGCTCGATCACCTAACAAGCACAGGATCGCAGTACCGCGTGCGAAGGTCGGCAACTTGCGGTGACGCCGTTGCAATAGCTCGAAAATCGTCAGACAAGCAGTGAGTTGATCCTGCTTCTCGGCCGTTGGCTGGATCTGTTCCAGCAGGAGTCGTCGAACGTAGTCGCGGGTCAAAATTGCCGCATCACTTTCGCGCTGCACCATCCAGTCCAGTAGGAGGTGCAGCTTATCAGCTTGTGGGCCCCAGACACAGCAGTTCGTTCGAGACACTGTGCAATCTTTCAGTGATTGCATCATTGCAGCCCCTGCGACAGTGCATACCAAGTTCCGGTTCAAACTCGTTGCTCCTTCGTCTTCTTCGTCTTCTTCTTGTTCTGTTTCTTGACTGTCGTAAGCACTGACGATCGAGTGCAAAGCAGCTACCAGTCGGGCAATTCGCTTGTGGTCCGACAGCGCCAGTACTTGAGCCTGAGGTGCAGTCAAACGGTCAATATGAATCGTTGCAGCAGCCACAACTCTCATCGTCACTAGGCAAATCCTCATCGCTATACTGAAGTGCAATATACCGCGTCAGTCGTTTCCAGCGTGTCCGCGTTGTGTTTGCCGTTATGCAATTGCAGCGACTCAGATCTGATTCTTGAGTCAGTGTGTCTGAGTCTGGTTAGTGCTGCTTCCATCTACGCAGCCACCGCACATTCGGAGCCCAGAGTTGCGTGAGTGTGAATGGTACAAAACAACATCGTGGAGATCCAATGCAGAACGTACGTGGAAGAGCTCGCAGTCTCGAAGCACACGCAGCACGCGTCCGGCGCTGTCCATGTCGCGAGGTCTCGCCATTATTGTCGTGTTTGTCGTGTTATATTGTAATAAAGCGACAACGAGCAATAGTTATGTATCGCACATGGCGGATGCGCGCTATCGTTCGATAGATAGCACACCCGTGTGAATAATAACAACACAAAAGTCACTACTCACCGTGTTGTGTCTTTCGCTGGTCGAACAACTACTTCAAGGCAGATGCCGGTCTTGTACTCAAATGGCTACGTCATTCATCTGAAAGACGACATTCTAACGACGTAGCCATTGGAGTACAGGGCCGCCACCATATTTGTTAACGTCGTGCTCAGCAGATAGAGAACGAGATCCAACACACTGTATAGCGCATGCAGGAGCTGCGTGCAAATAGACACGAATGGAAACGACAATATAATATGGCTACATCCAAGAGCACTGTTCCTAATGAAGCAAAGTCTCCTTTATACACACACACATACACACTTCTGCAGCTAGCGGCCTCCTCCTCTACCTCTCTCGAGGTTCTTCGATAGAGTGTACCCCTCTAGAGAATCAAAGTGCTGTGCACGTCGCTGCGGACGATATCGATATCGTAGTATCCCGCACTGTCGTCGGACTGAGCGCTCACGAACGACTGGTTGGACGACGACTGGTTCGACGCGGCTGAATGCTGACGCCGCGGGACATACCGACCATCGTCACTGCCCAGTTCCGTAGCTCGACTAAAGTCGACACGAGAGGTCGAGAAGATTGCCTTCGATTCATCGCCATACGAGTCGACCGATTCACGGTGATTGAAAGCGGACATGGTCACCCCGAGGGGCCCAAGCTCATAGCTTTGACCTTCGCTGAAATTCGTCTCCACGCTCTCTTCGTCCACGCTATGTGCGGTCCGTGACCAGCGCGTGAACCCACTACTGCTTCCACTGTCGACGCTGCTCTCGGACTCATTCGAAAAGATCGACATCTTTCCCTGAGGGCTACTGCCGTAGCCGCCGATCCTTTGCGGACCAGCAGCGCCGATAGCTGCTGAGAACGCGCTCTTTGGCTTCTCGGGAACCGGTGTCGGGTCGGGCTTTGTGCTGGTAGACGAGACCATCGAGTCCGAAAAGTTCACGTACGACCGGTTCAACATCGCATGTGAGCCGCGTGTTGAGCCGGTCCCATTACGGGGATTGCCCACCCTCGACGCACCCAATGAGGGCGCGCCATCCACTACATTGCCGGTGTCTGCGTCAATATTCACGTCATCAATGTCCACTTCTTTCTGCTGACCCTCCCTGTTGAAATTGCGTCTCCTTCGCGAAGACGAGTTACTCGCTCCAGAGTCAACGCCGGAGAAACTACTAACATAAGCGTCGAGCGTGACCGTCGACGGACGCGAGCCGAGTCCAGAGCTTGACAACCCTTTTCCAATTGCAGCTCCTCCTCTTGATGAGTGACCTCTGGACGATGGCGGCCCTCTCGATGAGGCCAAGTCCCCCGTCGAGGTATGCCCCCGAGCTGCATTTTGGCTTCTCAAGGAGTGCTGACTTCTAGAGAAGCGCCCCCTGGACGAACCCAGCGCGGCCTCGTCGTTCGAATGACCCGTGCCAAGATAAGCTGCCAACACGTCGTACGCTGGAATCGGCGCCTCCTGAACAGGTTCAGGAGAATGGCCGGGCACAGCGTTGTTCATCTGAAAAGCGTCTGCACTTCGTGCTGAGCTTCCAAACGAGTACTGCTTGTTGCGAGAGATGGGTGGGTTGGCCGCGCCTCTGGGACGAATAAAGACCGGGGCGGCCTCAGGGGACGCCAACATCGGAACGGTGTCCGACTGACAATCGCGCGAGCTCTCGGTGCTGTGACCGGATAAATTGCTTGTCTGTGTCGGGTACTGTTGCCGCTGATTGTGCTGTTGCTGCTGCTGCTGATTGTGCTGTTGCTGGTGCTGCTGCTGATTGTGCTGTTGCTGTTGCTGCTTGTCGTCGTACCAGACACCACCATGGCCAATTGGTGTAGCCTCCACTTGCTCGTAATTGCGGCGATTGGTAGACGCGTTGCCGGACTCGAGATTAATGTCGGTCGCATCCAGACGAGAGTTCTCCTTGCCATATTTCTTATGGCGACGAGCGATGACCATCTTGACAACAATCGTGTACGCTTGGCGCAAAAACAGCAACGAGAAGATGAACATATTCACGCCAATGATGCCGTACGCCACATTGTCTCGCACGTTCTGCGGAAAGTAATCGTCTCGTGCCACAACGAGCATAAGGCAAATGAGCACAGCCTTCAGCAGCACCGATGCGATACCCAAATAATACAGGAAGCGAAGCAAGTTCGGCTGGCGAATGAGCAGCAATATCATGTATATCATCGTGATTGCCAGAATGCACAACAACTGCGTTGTCGCGTCTCGAACGACGCCAACAATGGCGCCAGTCATCACCGCCAGCAATATACGCGGGACGAAGAAGAAGCGGTTGTCAAAGTTGTACTCGTCGTAATATGCGCCGTACTTGTTACTAAACGCGCGCTGGTCGTGTTCGTACGTGCCGACATCCTTGAGCTCATCGGTGTTTTTCCCGATAACAATGACACCGAGTCCAAGGGCAAGCAAAACGACACTGGCAAGCGCGGCTATGCCCATCGCGTATCGTGAGCCAGAGCTATTCGCCGAGTCGCCAGATGATCCTGTCGAGATAAAGTAGCTTCCAGTCATAGCGAACATGTACTGCGCCAACAAAAGGGCCAGCACACCGGCCCAAATGATCTTGCGATACCACATGCGTGCCACGTCACCAAACGACTTGTTCTTGGTTAGCACACCCGCGATCAGAACGATCACCAGAAACAACACGTGCAGCACGGCAATCACTACGGCAAACGTCCCAAGCGTGTAGAAGAAGAGATTGTCAACGTCAACGCCAATCAAAGCAGCGTATCTTGCTGGCCCGAACGCTTCAGCCGCTGCAAAGGCACCTGTAGCACTCGAGTCTCCAAGCCTACGCGTAGACTCATCCCTGTCGTGACCTCTCGTGCTTTCACTACTTCCCGCATGGTTGCTGTCTCCCGTGACAACATTGAAATTCGTCCACGAGAGTCCCTTGGAAAACTCGAGCAAAAAAGTAGGTGCACCTTCAAGACGCAGCTGACTGATCATGCTTACAAATTGAGCCTGTTCCACAATGTGGGTCATCTCGTAGAACCCGCCGGAGAAACTCAAGGCCGCTGCCGCACTCGGCATCGCAGAAGCCCAGAGCATCGAGCCAGTACTGACCACGGCGGCACCAGCCAACGACGTGGCAATGGCAACCGACGCCGTGCCACCGGCTTGCGAGTCCAAAAAGTGTCGAGGCCCTGTCGTGGTCATAGGCCACTGCGTGTTGCTGCCAAAGACGCAGCCCGAGCAGCTATTGGCATCAACAAAGCTCGCATTGAGGTCTCGGATGTCCACGTCCGGCGCGAGCGCGAGCGCCTCGCGGATCTGGTCGGCGCCCCATGGGATCGCGTACGTGTAAAACGCGAAGCCGAGCGCGACCAGGACGGCCAGCGGCAGTAGCAGCGCGCAGAGCTGCGAGAGCACCAAGCAGCCGCAGCACTTGGTGGCGCAGCAGAGCAGCCCCATGCTCGAGCGAGGATGGACACGGCACGTCGCTGGCGACAGGGGGGCTTGCAAGTGCAGACGTGGGGGGACGGACGGACGGACGATCGGGCGTCGATCGTGGCGGACCAGGAAAGCGGAACTGGCTTCGGCAGGGCCTGAGCGGCGACGTCCACGCACTTGGACGCGCTCCCGCCGCAGTATGCGACGCTCAGTGCGGTCGGCCTGGGGCCGAGACGCGCGCGGATGAGCTCTTCGATGGGTCGCGCGGACGAGAGACCGACGCGGGCGAGCGATTCAGCGCTCGCGCACGGGCGAACCGGATGGGCAATACCGGTACGATCCCGAGTGAGCCAATCACAAGCGCGCCCGCAAGTATCCGGACGCGGCTGCGCCACCAGGTGGCCACTCACGCACTGTGTAGACCGAGTCGCTCTTTTTACAGAGGCGCACGCACGACGTGACGGTAACAGTTGCTACGGGTGGTAATGATTAGCATCAAGCGAAGGCGGATCCCGTGACGAACCTGTCCATACACGAGGAGGCCCGTGACAGATGCGATTTGGTAGCGTCGAGCGCGCCACAAGTCGCTTGACGACATTTGTCGTAGGCCGCGCAGTTCGTTGATGATCGCAGCGTATGTAACAGGATGGGGGCGAGCCCACATCGCTCAGCGCCGTGCACAAGTTAGTGGGTCACGTTTTTCGGACGGGTGCGCATAGACACGACGCACTACGCGAAAGAGCAGGCGGCGTGTCTCGTGCGCGGAAATCTCTCACTCAATGGCAGTCGGCACGGACGGACATGTCGACCACATCGTTTTGGAGAGACAGGACGATCGATGGACCGAGACAGGAACCGGTTTAGCTGGGCCGCTGGACGTTTCTAACGGGTGGCTTCATCGTTTCTAACGCGCGACTGCCACCATGACCAGTGCCACGCACCCGTACGAGTGGTAGGACCACTACTGCCTCAACGGGTTCGACCGCTGTCACTCTGTAGCTCTCTCACGTATAACTCGTCTATGTATGTCGACTGCACTGTGAGTCACAGCGACGTTTGTCTTGATTTCCCCGCTGAGGCGGACGCCCAATTCGTGTTGCAAACGCTCGAGGTCGACGCCGAGCTGCAGCCAGAGAAAATCCACCGCACTATGACCGTCAAAGGCCCCGCGCTTCACGTGTGCGTCTGCCAATGCTTTGTCGATACTGTTGCTGTTCTGTGCTGATCTAATGTGGGGGCGAAATGCTGCGTGCTGCTGATCATGGCTGGTACTTGGTGGTGATGTGTTTTGCAGTCACTTCGAAGCCACAGAAATTCGACTGCTGCGCGCAGCGGTATCTTCCTTCTATGACATGAGTATGCTGACGGCCAGAACGTTGCTGGAGTTCAAGTAGGCCGAAAAGAAGAAGAGATGCCGTCAACAAGGAGTATGCCCGAGGGGCAACGTGGCCTGTGAAACAGCAGTGTTGCTACCGACCGTTCGCTCGTCGCTTATCTGGTGTGCCTCAGCTGGACAGTCATGTGGTCTTTGCTGCAGCGACCATGTCAGTTGGCGTCTTGCATGCTCAATGTATTTGTTTGCATAGCACTCAAATGCAAACACCGAATCTTTGCTTGCTGTTGCACGATTGCAGCATGTGTGTGCAAGTACCATTGCGGCGTGTCCAGCATTGCGAACGCAAAGACTTTCACAGTTCGGTCGACTCTGTCACGGAAGCACTGGTTTCTGCATGCCGCAAGTTCATAATGAGATAGCGCATTTTGTGGCATGCGTTGTTTCGTCATGCAAACGTAGTGGTGGTACCAAACTATGATCGATGCAGCTGTCGACGCAAGATCGACATTCGGTTCAATATCATCTCGGTCGTGTGATGCCTTGCGGTGCGTGGTGGCCAAGCCCTGTACGGCGACTACTACACAAGGTTCCCCTCGAATCAGGAAATGCGCGATGGACTCGGCCACGAGAGGTAGTGCTACTGCCAAAGATACGACCTTGGTGTTGCATTCTCTGGACAAGCAATTGACAAGCAAGAAGTCACACCGTTTGTCAAGCCAAGTGTTGACTACGAGCCCAACCGCAAGCAACTGCTTACTCGTTGCGATGCAGAATGGTCATACAAAACGCGCGTCACCGCACCATGTCGTGGATTTCGTGAGTTGACTAAAGACAGCGCGCCCATCTTGGCATGGTTGACAAATCGACGCCAGACAGGGCAGTGGCTGTCAGCCAAGACCCGATCAAAGAGCGTTGAACTCGCCGCGCAACTCACTTGACGATGTGTAGCTTCCGGTCGTGACAACATATACAGTCGTCCGCTGATGTCAACACCTTGTGCAATCAACTCGGTAGGCAAAGATGGGTACGTAGTCAGATAGACATGGGATGACTTCGCTACGTCATTCTACTACAATTCACTTTTACCGCTGTGGAACATGCCACCTCACAACCGGTCAGCAGATTATCGAGTCGCTACGGCCACATGGCCAACGCCGGCGGCCGATGAGCAGATGGTGCAGTCCCTGTTGCCGCAATCAAAATTCAGCTTTCTGACCGCACGCCGGGAGCAGATGGTACAGTCCCTACTGCGCGCAATCAACATCTACTTTCCCGTCGAATGCTCCGGACGCAATTGTAGAGCGTCTGATCGGTGCTATGCACGTCAAGATCAAGCTTGCAGTGACATGTTGCTTCGTTTCTTCCACTGATAGACATCGAGGTCGAACGTGGCTGCAGAGCTAGCAAATAATGGTGTGGGTGGGTGGCATCATCGTATCCAGAGGTCAGTCGGCTACGTCCGTGTCGAAATGAACAAGAGCAATGAACAACTGATTGATCAGCACAGCGACATGGCTGTGTAGAGGATCGAAGTGATGGCTCGTATTCGTCTCGTTGATAAATGCGATACCAGTAAGTGTGACAGCGCCTCTTGGTGCCGAGACAGAACGTAGATTGAGCTACACGACGCGCTTATCGAGTTTTGCGCAAGTATAAGTGCCTACGTTTATTCATTACTTATGCGCTAATTGATGTCATGGACACCGTTGCGTCACGTCTTGCGAGCACTTTGTTTTTGTAACACAGTGTGCAATAAGTCCGTTTACATGCTTCCTCGCAAACATAGGCGCGAAGCAGAGCAAATTACATCGCGTCGATTCTTTCCACTGCAGAAACTCGTGCCGATACTGCCATAGCACTGCCTGCCGTATCCCCTCTTATGCCGTTGCGGTGTGGAGCCCCGACTGCAGTGTCATTGTGTCCACATAACGATATTCCGAAGAGTGATAGATTCGTGTTTTACCCCCTGCTTCGTGCATGCTACGAAACCTCATGCGTCCTATTTTACCATCGACATGCTGTATCCGTATTGATGCTGCCATTGCGTTTACGTCGATTGAAGTACGGTAAATAGAGCAGAAAATAGAGCTCCTGGAATGTTGCTCCAAAAATTGACGTCGTGAATGGTCGAAAGAAAACGACGTCCTTGTCGTCTCTGACAGATCCTGCTCAGAAAGCTCCATCTGGTCCGCATCTCTACCAGTCATCATCTGAAAGGTCACCGGTTTTGGGACATTGAAGCAAGGTGGAGGCTCACGCGCGGGCCTTTTTGATGCACTCATCGTAAGCAGCATGTTTGTTACGGCGTCCGAAACGGACACATCAGTTGCTGCACCTGTCCAGCAAACCGCTCGACGATTGCTCATCCGTTCGTTCTCGAGCAAGTTGCCTAATCCACTTTTTCTCACCGATAGTCCGCAGACTCCTCATCTTAATTTGCTGATCTCTGCTCTGCTTTGATTGTGCCGCACTGCCCTCGGTATTCACGTACTTGGTATCGCTCGTCGTCTACAGTTGTTCACTAGCTGTAGAAAGCAGAGGACTGGTGTCATAGACCGACTCCGATCCGGTCACATCTTGTCGAGGCACTGCAAGGCGCTCACAAAGAGAGTGACACCCCCCCTGGCGGCTTCTCAGCTGCTGTGCGTGCGCTCGGTGCATGTGACAACCTTGCCGGATCAGTCTCCGGGCAGATCCCGACCGAACTCTTTCGGCGACGGACGCTCGTGGACTTCCGGCAGCCTCGTGCCCTATCTCAAGAGCACAGGATTTCCCAGCAATGCCACGGAGCGCACTCTCCACCGGGACGCCTTCGTGGCTCTTCGTTTGCTCTGTGCGACATGGTGGTCCCCGGCCCGTCTCTGAAAGTTTCGTCCAAGTGGTCTGCCCAATCCATGATATCGCCATGAACGAGCCAGTCGAGCGGGACGCTCTTTCCCGCCGCGTGCGGAGCAAACAGCATCAGCTACGACGAGGGCACACATCTGTTTGTCGCGAAGAATCCAGTGCCCTGTCGCCTCGCCGTTGCCGACTTCTCGGCGCACGACCGGCACTCGAATTTTTGTACCGGCGCATGCGGCGATCAGTGAGTTGCGTAGCAGCGGCCGAAGCTGCTGGCAAAGATCAGAGACCGCTGACGTCACCATTGCGAAACGGCAGCTGCGTCTCCAGGACGGGCCGCCGTGCCGTGTCAAACGATCGTAGCAGGACCGGTAGTTGCACCATTCGACTCAGAGGGGCGCTGGCAGTCGCCGCAGACGGCATCTGGCAGCGCGAGTTCAACTCGATAGTCGAAGCTCACGAGACCACGAGGAGTGCGTCTCTTTGTGCCTTCGCGCACGAGCCACTCGGACGTTGCGCAAAGTTCCGCTGCATTTTGCATCGCAAGATGGTGAGACGTAGTCGGCAGAAAGTAAGTGAGCGAACGAGTGCTCTGCAATACAAAGGAAAAGCTCGAGAGAAAACGCGCGCTTTGTCATACGCTGCTACACGTCGTGCGTAATCGACTCTCTCGCCCGGTCGATTTCGTCGACGCGACAAGTTGACTGACTCGATGTGCGCAGACCTCAACAAATGCACCACCGCCAACAAATGCACCACCACCACCACCAACAACAACAACAACAACAACAACAACCGACCGACCGACCGACCGATCGACCGGCCGCTTGTCACGCCACTACTGCGAGGGGCGCTCCCTCCTCTTCTGCCCACGCGCTGGTCGCCACTTCCGCTCAGTATGCCCTACTCGCTTCAAGTCACTCGCTCATACGTAACAAAGCTACGACGTTCGGCGAGAGACAGACACACGGACAGACCGCCCGATCGAGCGAGCGAGCGAGCGAGCGATCGAGCCGCCTCCACAGTTCGTTCCGTCATCACAACTCCATCCAAACACACAGACAGACACAGACAACACACAGACAACACACGGACAGAGAGAGAGAGAGACGCACAACTCGCTCACTCACTTACGTACACACTTACGTACACGCACACACACTCACTCACTCACTCACACACCCGTCCCCAGCCCTTCCGCTTCCTCTTCCCGCTCGTGCTGCTCCCCCTCTCTCTCTCTCTCTCTCTCTCTGGACACGCAGCTCCGCCGTCGCCCCCTTCGATGCCAGCGGTGGACGAGTCGCGCGCGCGTCGCCCCTCGATGGAGCCCCCCGCCACGTCCCGCGCGTCCGTCGACAGCGCCTCGTTCCAGTCCCACAACCGCAATCATAACAATACCAATACCGCCGGTCACAACAACAACAACAACAACAGCAATACTACTACGACTACTACCGCCAGCAGCAACAGCAGCGGTCTCACCAACGCCCGCGCGTCGTATCAGGACCCGCAGACGCACAGCACGAAGCGCCAGAGCCACAGCAACAAGAAGAAGAGCGCGCGCATGCGCCACTCGCTCATGCACGTGCAGGCGGACGCGCTGGCGTTCAGTCGCTCGAGTGCGCCGCCCACGTCGGGATATTTGGTGCTGTCGCCGCCGGACCGGTCGAGTACCTACTCGAGTCTCCACACAACGAGTCGCGGCCCAAGTGGGGGGCAGCAGCAGCCGCCCGAGCCCACAGCTTCGCCGTCGAGCGACGAGATCCTCAAAGTAGAGATCCCCAGGTGGAAGTCGAAGCTCGCGACGGACCGAGCGGACCGCGTGCAGGTCCCGGCAGGTCCAGACAGTGCCGGGAACTCGCCGTTGGCCACGGGCGCTGCGCGGTCGGCGACGTGGGACGGCAAAGACGGACGCGCCAGTCGTGGCGTCTCGACGGGAGCGCTCGTTGTATTGGCACGCGATCGAGACAGTGGCAGCAGTAAGAAGCGCTATACGGTGTTTCAAGTCTACGTGCACTTCCAGTCGGGGGCCGTGCGCATGTCGGAGAAGCGGTACAGTCACTTTCGCGAGCTGCACAAGACGCTGCGAAGAAAGTACGCGGCCGTTGGGAAGCTCTACTTCCCACCCAAGAAGTTCTTTATGTCGCTCTCGCTGCGTGTGATTGAACAGCGTCGCGAGGCCATTGAGACGTACGTGAATGCAGTGCTGGCGTTGCGTCCACGACCGGTTGAAGTCGTGCAGTTCCTGAGCATTGCCGTGGAAGACGACGACGAGGACGGAAACAGCACTGATGGCCCGACGCGTGGAGTGGATATGGTGACGGCACCAAAGCACTTGCAGTCGACGTCGACGGCTTTCGGAACGTCTTCCGGGCTCAGTGGAAGCAACAGCTTTGCCCTGGAGGATGCAGGGGGACACCTTGTGACGATGCAGGATTTCGAGATCCTGAAAATGCTAGGCAAAGGATCGTTTGGAAAAGTCTACATGGCTAGAGAGTGTGGAAAGGAGAACAAGATCTACGCGATGAAGGTCCTGCGAAAATCGGAACTGATCAAACGCAACCAGGTGGGGCACACGATGATGGAACGCCGCATCATGAGCTCCATTGACCACCCTTTCATCGTTGGACTCAAGTATTCGTTCCAGACCGCCAGCAAACTCGTGATGATTTCTGACTACTGTTGTGGTGGCGAGATCTTCTTTCACCTGAAGAAGTTCCGCTCCTTTTCGGAAGCCATGGTGCGCTTTTACGCCGCAGAGCTAGTGGCCGCTATTGGCCACTTACACGAGCGTGATATCATCTACCGAGACCTGAAACCGGAAAACATTCTCTTGGACGAAACGGGCCACGTGCGTCTGACCGACTTTGGTCTCTCGAAAACCGATTGCACCGATTTCACAGGAGCGAGGACATTTTGCGGCACCCCGGAGTACTTGGCACCCGAGATGCTCATCAGCCGCAAGAAAAAGACCGAGTACGGCAAAGCTATTGACTGGTGGAGTCTCGGCACGCTTATGTACGAGATGCTCACCGGCTGGCCGCCTTTCTTTGACCGCAACATCGAGCAGATGTGCTCCAAGATCATGAAGTCTCCGCTCAAGTTCCCAGCGCATTTCGGTCTGAGCTCAGAAGTCAAGAGTCTCATTTCTGCATTGTTGGATCGAGACCCGACGTACCGAATAGGCTCACGTCCTGGCGCTGGTGTCAAGGATATTAAGAATCACGTGTTCTTCGCCAGCATCGACTGGGCGTTACTGGAGAAACGCGGCATCAAACCGCCTTTCAAGCCGCGTGTTCGCAGCCCCACTGATATCCAAAACTTCGATCGTGAGTTTACAAAGGAGTTGCCTGACCATGGCTTTTTGCAGCAAGACAAGCGTCTGGCCATGTCGCCCAAGAACGAGTTCCAGGGCTTCTCCTACACTCGAACAGAAGACCCGGCTTCGTGGTCGCGTGAGTCAGGCAGCAGCAGACAGGAAAAGCGCATGTCCGGACGCTTGTCGGAGCCACGGACCAGTGAGGGGTACGTACAATGAGAGAAGACGCTATAGCTGCAGCGTTGGACGTCAGTCCGTTGCACTGAGTCAAATGCCTAACGTTTGCTTCTGCTGTATCTTGCTCTAGAATTGAGCGCGAGTCCCAGTCAACGGCAGACCAGCAGTATCCTGAATTTGGCCACGTCGCCCGCGACAGCACGGATTTCGACACCGGCTGTATCTAGAGTGCGTGGACGGGGGTCAACTGCCCGTAGTCCACTTGCTCGCCATGTCTAGTACAAGAAGGAAGAAGCAGGTGGGCATTCGTTGCCATGCTCTCGTTATGACGTTTGGTTCTAATTGAGACTTGGTACAGGTTGAAGCCGATCCGAGTCGAGTTGTTACTGGGAGACGCAAAGTACGTTGTAAGAAAATGAATGAACCTAAAGATTACGTGAGATTAGCGCACAGCAGCTGCTCTGTGTTGAACAAACAAAGAACTGGCGTTGGTGAGTGCAGCAAACACGTTGAGCTACTGCTGAGGCGGCTTCCTCCAGTCGTGTTTTCCTGCGCATAGGGAGCGAGGTATGCAGTACTGGAAGATGTACATCAGGCTGCAGCTTTGCCATCAGCATTGACATCGCAACGTACGATCTTGCGCGAAAATGGCGCTGCCGAGAACGCAGTCGTTTGCTCACGTACTTGAATGTGTTGGAAGCAGATGACCATAATGCCACCTACTAGCGGACACAGCACACGAGTCATATTGCAGAGCCGGCGGTATACATCGCACGTGCCATCACATTTGGAGAACGGCAATGCCCCAGTTACGTTGCGACTTGTCCAAGTGCACGCGGTTGTAACATCTACTGAACTCGATCAGCTTATGTGCCTCTTCGCTACGCTTGACCAAGTGGCCGTGCATCCAATGCAGACACCCAATTGCGACCGCTTGGTGAGATGGGGTGGCAGGAAGCAGGACACTGCGCTATTCGCTGGCTACAGACATCTGCTGTGCACCGACACACGTCCGTGATCCAAACAAGAAAGAGCGGTGGAGTAGTGTTGTTCGCACGAAGTCGGTCCTGTAGGGTGCGTTCGTGCTTTGCGCCGGTTCGAGCTCTTTCTGCTTTGGATCGAGCCGGCAAAACGTGGATAGTCACGCAGGAGTCAGGAGCTCGAACTGGATCGCCGTACTGCACGCGCTTGTCAGATTGGTGCCGGACGGTGTCAGCCATCCGGTTGCTCGGATCAGTTCTGCCGCTTCCAAATGCCTTCAACAAGGAGACTTAGCGTACGATCCATTCACGACCGAGTCGTCTGCCGTATGCAATGGCACAACGAGGACACGTCGATGTCTACTCGTTGCAGAGCAGGTGTCCTCTTTCTGACGGTCACTTTTGATGCGCTTCAGCCACTCACACTCTATCGTGCGTTTATATGCGTACGCGTCGCTTTTTACGTGTCCTAATCGGCAGTCAATGGTCAAACGTGCTTGACGTCAAGCGGCTGCTCGAGCGAATCAGCGCTTGCTGCCTACTGAGTTAACAGCATGGCCTGCGTTGTCTGTGTATAATACACGATTAAACGAGCGGTACGACAAAAAACATGGGCTCATCGACTCCTCGATAGTAATAGACGCTATCTATCTTGACATAGTCTATGCTTTCATGGTTGCGTTGCAAAAACAGCGCCAAGGAGTCGATAATTTCGCACTATTTTGTAGCGAATAATCTCATCGCGATTTTTGGGTCAGAATTATATCGTCGACTTCTGATCAAGGTGATCCAGCTCGAGACGTGGATAATCATCGAGCGGCTGAGATAGAGTTTCGTGTCGACACAGTAGTTACGACGCTAAAACGCAAGATGGTCATTGACATGACCTCGTGCATACACCGGTTTCGTCTCGTTGCACCACGTACGATCAATAATGACTCCGTGCACTCATGTAACGGCATGGCATACCCGGACAAGGTTCAGAAGTCCGCTACGAGTCATCGATAGTTTTTTGATCGGGCATCCATTTTCACAGCAAAGATAGGACAAAGACACATGTGAGTGATGACTGAGTTTATCTTCGAGCGGTCGACCATCTTCGACTTTCGTTGTGTCAAAAAGGTTGAGCTGCAGGTTATTTCGCACGTCCCACGATATCGATTCTCCATACTGGTGTAACCTCGCAGCTCGTTTGATGAAAGTCGCCATCGGTGCTGCTCATCAACGAATTCAAGCTGCTTAAACACTGTATCAAGTCTCATCATAATCCAGCTCGCCATATGTGGAGCTGTTCCCCCTTGATCACGTACTCGCCAGGAATGCGCCTAGTTCGATTGCTACTTTCTCCTTTTCATATGTTCAAAGAACGACCGCGAGAGTAGGTCAGCGAAATTGTCGACAAGAAGCTACAAGTGTGGGTCTATCAGTTTGGAAGTGTGAATGAGCGGTCATCGCCCGTTTGCAGTAAATCTTCGGCTAGACATGGGCCCACACGCTGGAAAAGAGCGACAAGTTTACTGGTATTGTCGCTGTTCGGTTTTTGTAAAAAAGTCCCGATAGACTTCGCGAAGATACTATCTGAGCTCAAAGTGATGACGTGAGAGAGGTACAAACTCGACCAAAAATTGTTGTTAGATCCCGTTTGCGGAACTGGTAGCGAGTTGCAGATCAAAATCTGCCGAGACTGTTACTGCCTCTGTCTGAGATTGGACTGGAGAAAGCGACTTCCGGTCGCCTTTATTCACCGCTGTATCGTAAGGCTCATCGAGAAATGCTCCTGAAACTATATAAATGTGAATGACCACGCGTTGGTTGCTGTAACAATCGGAATAGGAGTCACCCTAATCGACGGTGTAGCAAAGAGCGGAACAATTTGCACGAGAGTAAGGAGTTGGTAAACTCGCGGTTGCATACAGCAGAGTAATGGATGAGGTATCGACAACCGCAACACGAATAGCCGTATACATCTTATAGACGTATCTCATGACTACTAGCCGTGGTGTCATGGCCTCGCCATGGTTAGATCGACAATCTCACACTCGCCTGATGTCATCCTCACTATTAGGATAGACCTGATCGCAGAAGAGAGAAGAGTGTCAGAAGAAACGATAGGAGGGTGGAAGGCAGGATCAACAAGATTCCAACCAGCTTTGAAGACGACTACAGTTGGTATGTGACAATAATGACGTTGTCTCGACTTTCACAGCAAGCACCGCACGAATTACTTACACTCACGCCAGCCGATGCCATGCACCGCGCACCGGCGGTCCAGTTTCTTCTACCCGATCCGAGTTTGCCTCAGTAGGCACGAGCGTTCATTGTTTCGTAACACATCGTCGAATGATCGCACAGGGTCGTCTGCAGGAGGCGGGTGACTTGCGGATCCTTACATCTGAGTAAGCATCAACCCGCAATCAGAAAAGCAGTATTGTATGCGCAAGTATTTCGCGATCGAAGTTACACTCTCGGGTCAGAGCCAGATATGCAAGAGGACTGTTCTCGGCTGTTGAAGTGCGATGGAACGGCTGCAATGATCTGATCCACGTGAATTTAATATACACTCTGCCAGGGTGGCTACAGCCGCGAGACGCCGATGAACGCTGCGAACGCGTAACGAGCCGGAAAAACTAACGAAGCTAGTGCGATTTGATGCGTTGCCAATGTTCATGGCATAGCTAGCTGACTTTTCTGCAGTGAGCGTGTGCATGGTGACGGATCGAAAGCGATGAAATGAACAATCCTTCGTCAATGTGACTTGGGTCAACGGACACACGAAGGCGTCCACGTAATTGCTTCTCTTGTCTTGTAGCAGAAGTTGAGGAGAAGCGCCTGAGCGAAAATGTCACGTCCCATCCGTCGCCGATGCAAAGGTAGATGAGAACGAGATGAATCGCATTGTGAGAAATGTTGAGAGGTTGCAAAGATGCTGGATGCAAGTGGTTCGCATGTCTGACATCATGTGCCAAGTAAGTGCAAGCACTGACGCCTAAGGGACCATCATGTAGCCGGTACAAACCAAGCAGCGCCAATAGCTAGTAATGCGTGCGTGCGGACGATCGCTGTATCGGCATGCGCGTCCAGCTCATGCCGCCTATGCTTGGCAGTGCTATTGCGTGAGATTTGTAACGTCACTTGTACAAGCTCCTCGATGCAAATGTCGACATTTAGCGTCCTGTTGCCGACGTCATTCCTTTGTATGCCTTCGATTCCTTCATCCCAAATATCGCGTTAGTAGTGTTGAGCGTCATCAACCGAGCAAAAACGCGGCTACGGTGAATCGCATTCGAGTGATCGGCGTCGGACAATTTGGAATGGTGACGAAGCAACGGATGGGTGATCTGCCCGGCATGGACGGCGGATCAAAAAGGGCAAGCAGGTAGTGGACGATCGATGGGGTCAAATCGTATGGAAACGGTCAATCGGACACACGCAACTGGCTCATCCGAATGATGTCGAACGGACTGCGTGTTGATCGAGTCGATAATGGACGTGGTGTGAGTGCTGAACCATGACGACCGAGACGACTTTACGGGCGACCAGGGTCGGGATCGCTAGGATCGGCCGGATTAGGAATGTATCTTGGATGCGTATGCCAAGAAGGGATGTGCTGTCGAAAAAGAGTAGTAGGACGCTACTACCAAAGAAGTGCGAACTCCTTGTATGCTCCGATGTGAAAGGGCAATAGATTCTTCTCTGTCATGTCGGCGCTGGTTTCCGTGTGGTGGAGTTGTGCATGTGGCACATACGAGGAGGTTCGTAAAGAAGCTGATGCGTGCTATTGTCGTGTATCGAGTCTAACGCGTCATGCAAAGTAGGCTTGGACGATTGATGATGTACTAGAAGCACGCTAAGCTTGATTCGACATCGGGCTTTTTCGTGCAACCACTGAACCTGGTCTTTTGCAGAATGTTTCTTGTGCAGACCTTACTAGCTAATTGTGGGATTGTAGGACCTGCTCGAAGCCGACAAAGCGGACTTCGGAATCGCTTGGTGTCAACAAACAAACCTGGTCTTGCACCGTATCAAGAGGATCGTGCTAGCTGAGGCAGAAGGCGGAAACAAAAAGCTAGACTATAGGCTGAGACTTGGGCTGGACCAAGTCGGCCTCATCCGTGATGAGGCCATCTGAACATCAATCTTCTCAATGACAAGATCTATGGTGCATCTTACAGCCGCAGATCAATCATAGACGCGGCGGAAGGTGTCACCTGCATCGCATCTCGGATATAATCGATCCTGAGATCGGAAATCGTATTGGGTCACCAGCGCCTGCAGTGAAATTGGCAAAGCTCGCTAAGGGGCTCTCGCACACTGCTAATCAGAGCAGAGACTCTGGATGACTGCCGACAGTGTATCGGACACCTGAACAACAGCGAGTTCTCCATCTCAAGTGTCTCACTTCGGTACAGGTCTCTCTAGATGAAAGTGGCATCATTTCTGGAGGGTCGGTACACTCGCCCGTCTTCGGCTTTGACGCTGTTTGACAGACGACAGTTTTGAGATATGTTACGTACTACTAATGTCACATTTCTATCGTAAACATGGCGCTCAGCCGAAACTTTCGGACGACGTACTACAAGACGCTCGGTGTACCTGTTGTGCAGCATATTGTCGACGTCGAGGCCTCTTTTGCAGCCATACTTAGTGAGAAAGCGATCAACGTGTCACAGCTACTCAAAGTGGCGGTAGAACTGGGCATTGCGCCGCAGTATCGCGCGAAGAGTTGGCTTCTACTGGCGGGGATACTGCCGCCCTATCCAGAGCTATGGAAGTTTGTGCTCACGGAACGACGTGCCATGTTCGAAGACGTTGTCGAAGCAGCACAAGTACTTCACGTTAAAGACGTGACGGGGAGCGACGAAGGAAGAGGAGTGTACTATGCATTTACAGACCTTTTGGAAGCAACGGAAGATGGACACCAAGAGGAGACGCCGGCGTTGCCGAATCTGCAGAGATTGGTGCACTTACATCGCACGTATTGGCGGGAGTTTGCGACGTGTGGACCGTCGCTGTTGCGCGGGATGGACGACGCAAAGTTCTTGCTTGCAGTAGCTCGAGTGGTGTGCGAAGTCTTGTCAGACGAAGCACAGCGATTTTGGGGCTTTACGCGGTTGTTGGAAATCTTGAATGAGGGACTGGAGGCTGTGGATCCCGTGGTGAATCTCGACACGCTATACGATGCACAACTCGCTGACTTTGAAGCAGTGTTTCTTCGCACGCTGGACGTGCGGCGAAGGCGCCAGACTGCGGATGGGTCGACCTCTGGTCTGCATCTGCGTACGAGTGGACATGATGAAGAGCACAGTCGATGGAGGTGCTAACGCAAGGATGAACGCGCGCGTAAGAGTTAAATTAGTGACGGGTGGGACCAGTCAAGCAAAACGTCCGATGTCCTCATCCGCAGTGTCGCGAGCGTAAGAGTCAAATTGGTGACGGGTGGGACCAGTCAAGCAAACCCTTCGATGTACTCTTCCGCACTGTCGCTGTCGCTTTCGGATCTCTGCGGCGGCTTACTAGCGACGGCTTTGTGGGATCGACGCCGTCGCTTCGATGGCGCCTTGGGCTTTTTTAGGCTTTCTTCCATACCCAGGTCCAATTGCTTCTGGTCCTTGCATGCAGCGCGCCAAGCCACCATGAAAAGGTTCCAGTTCGACTCAATGGGATCGTCCGTCCGGCATAAGTCATCGACTGAAGGAAGCAAGAGGTGCTTGGGCGACCGTTCCTTCGCTTCGACTGGCGCCTCGGACGTAGATGGTTTGTACGTAGCGCATTTCTCATCGTCCAACTGGTAGTTGTTCTTCAGCGCAAACTTCAGACGAAGCAACAATGCAATCGCGAATGCAATGCGGCCGTTTCTTTCAAGCGCCGACAACGTTGAGGCTCCTAGCCGGCGCAACGGACGGAACTCATCGATCTTTACCATCGAAAGATCCGAGTCTTCGTTCTCCAGACGTTCAGGTGCCACGCCTGCCTTCGCAAAGGCGTCTTTGAGATCTTCTAGCACATGACTAGAACAAAATAGTTAGTGGCCTAGCCCATGGCTGGCTTTTACACAACTGAGATGCGAACGTACCCGAGTCGAAGGCTCACGTAGCGATTGATCAAGTAAATAACGTATAGCGGTTCGTCTTCCACATCGTACGGTAGCGTCGAAATGATTTGCGCTAGATAGCACAAATACTTCAAAGCGCTCATGGAGGCCTCTTTCCTGCTCCCAGCAACCAGATCGTTTTTCAATGGCTTCAGCACGGTTCCCTGATCACTGAACTGGTTGACAAGGGCCTTCAAGAACAGCGATTCGCGCGATTTTGTCGGCTTCAGGCAATTCCTGTATAGCCGTCCGAACAGACAAAACTCTTTCTCGCTCTCGACGCTTCCCAGCGCTGAGCAGTTGCCATACACGCTGAGCTGGAACGAATACGAGTCTCGGATACCCTTAATCAGTGGTGTATGAATTTGACTCCGATACTTTTCATACAGCGTTGTTAGCTGTGAGAAAGCTGCATCTCGAACATCCGGAACGCGATCCGTCTCCAGTGCCACCAAGTTCGGGACGCACTGTAATGGGTTCACCAAGCCTTGCGTAAGTAAGGCACCGACACATGCGATGGCCTGTATTCGGATTTGCGGCACCTGCTCGATTGATAGCCGCAAAACGTTTTCCAGTTCCGCTTGCATGATGTTGCCAATCAACGAGGCGTCGGCTTCTTGATCACCTTGAATCTGCTGCTCCTTACTCTTCGATTGATTCATCGTTTGTGCCGCCTGTCCGTTTTCCAAACGCTGCTCTTCGAAAAGCAACAGCTCTTTCATGTTTACGAGACATTGCAGCTTTATCTTTAGCGAATTCGACTTCAACAGAAAGCCAAGGAGATCATCTTGTTGCGCTCGAAGAAACAAACGGGGCCGAATCGAGAACAGGAAACCCATGCCTTGCACAGCTTTAGCGGCACAGGAGTCGTTGCCTGGCATGCGAACGAACTGGCTGTACAACTTGTAAAGCGACTCTGTAATTGACCCAATATCCAGCACTTTTGCCTCCTTTGCAAGTTCCGCACACTCGTCAATGTTCGTCGCACCAACAATTTTTCCCGCTGCGAATAATGCACGCTGGAGCACATTATCCTTCTCAAGCAGATTGGAAAGAGTAGACCTTTGTTCGTACTCGCGTATACTAAGATAAAATCGTTCCAGCAATCGGAGCAAAAGCACTCGCGCAGTGTATCGTGTTCGTGACAGAGTTGCTAGACACTTGATACTTTGACCGACAACACTTGGAGGAGAGCGCAGCACCAAAAACTTCAAGTCATCTTCCAGTCTCTTCGCGATAGACTGCGGCACTCGCTTCACTCTCAAAATGCTGTCAATCATGGAGACGGACAGTTTTTGAACCTTAGCGTCTTCTTCCTTCAGGTACACACGAATGGTCTCGAGGTGATGAACCAGAAGTTGAGGCTTTACTGCGCAAAATGCAGCAAGAGCTGTCATGCACGACACAAACTGTTGATGTCCGTCCTTTATGGAAACGCCGCTAAGAAGTGTGCCTTCCTGTATGTCCATAAGACAGCCCACAAGACGGGTAATGATCCTTTTGGAACGATCCTCAGCCAACGCAACTTCAGCTGATCGACTCTGGCTGCTTCGTGCTGCTGCTCTGCTAGCGTTGCTGTTGCGTGCCTCCAGCAGCCTTTCCAAAAGTTCAGAAAACCAAGTCAAGTTTGGCATGCCGTGAATAACCTCAATGATGGTTGTGACAACTTCAGAGCTGTTGTCTAGCTTTGCATCGTTGTTCTTTACTACGCTGGCCGGTGTCACCATGGGAGTGCGATACAAAGACCACGCGTCCTCGATGGAGTCGACAACGATCCCATCTTCCGAAACAAACGTTGTACTTCCGTCCGCGACATCCGCTTTACCATCAGCTTGCGCTGCAACAGACTTCCATCCAGGCGGCAGCGTCGTTGTGTCGCAAAATTCGCCAAGAGAGTTCGTAAGTCTCGATGATGATAGCTCAGCACCGAACCACACCTCTTGAAAAGTATCGATGATGAAGTTCTTAACGCCTTGGTCTTCAGCCGCGTCTCCAATACGTTCGACCAAACATCGCATGCAGTCACTTTTGCGGCGCAGCTCTACGTCGGTGCTTACATCGCGGGCCAAAGCTAGCTTGAAGATTCTGCAAACGCTTTTCCGAACTTTGATGCCTTTGTCGCGAGCTCTCGCAGCAAGCACGTCGAAATATTTGTCAAACTACAAACAGTGCAAGCCACTATCATGAGTACAATATCGTGTCAATTCTAACATGATCTCACGTACCAGGAGGGGCTGTAGCCAGACGTAAGTCCCGACTAGTTCTACCGCAGCTTCACGAACTGACGGCTTTTCATCTGAGCAGCACTTCTGAACAGCTAGCTGCACGCCAGATTCTGCCATAAGCATGTGGTCAACATCGACAATAAGTCGCAAACATTTCATGACTCGAGCTCGCAGACTTGGCATTCCTTTCGAGAGCAGAGCCATGATGTGCGCCAGTAAACGGTCGAATAGGCCACAAAACCCACGCTTTACGACAAGACACAGACTTGCCTTTAGCGCAAGCTCATTCGTAGGGACAGCCACCTTGAATTTTGCGTCAACGTCTCCCTTAGGTACATCCCAAAACGACTTCCACAAATGCATTTCTCGTTCCGCAAACGTCGACTCGGCTTTGTCCCAATGATCACCCGTTTCCGAGATATACTTTGAGACCAGCAGGTTCGTTGAATCGCCATAAAGAAGACTGTTCCGCTGAAGATACATAAGAGTGATATGTTTCAGCGCCAGTTGGTAGTACAAGTCATAGCTACCGCCTACAAGCGCGCCTTTGGGAGTCATCTCGGCTCCAGCTATCAACGCATACAAAGTGCTCGTATGCTCTCCGACAACAGCAATCGAGTCACTGTCATCGTTCATCGTACTCTGGCTGGCCTTGATCTGGTAGCGCCTGATTGATGCACAAATCTTTCCGACCGTGTTGATCGCAGCAACGGTTTGGTGTGAGTCCGGCTGCTTCATGTTCTTCGAGATGTTTGCGTGCAGGGTACTCGCCAACAACGAGCTCAACGCCTCGAGAAGGTACTCTGCTCCTACCCATTCTGGGCGAACAAACATGACGAGAAGATCTTCAACAAAGTGGTCCAAGGTCACGCGATGATCACGCTCTTCTGTTTTCTTCCAGCATGCTCGGAGAAACTTCTGAACGAATGAACGCGCACTGTTCCTTGTATCGACTAGCGTTCTTTCTACCGCATCGTATCTTTGCTCGTCTTTATCTTCAGAGACGGCACTCGGTGTTGACGATGCTTCAACTATGCTTGCGCGCGAATGAATACTGGTGCCATCTTCCAGCACAGGTTTGGATACGGAAGCGGAGGCTTGTATCATCGAAACCGCTAGTACTGAGATTTGCTGTACGGCATTCGTTGAATTCAGCAGCTTAACTGTTCGAAGTGTACGTTTGGCCGTAGGAAGCTTGATCATGACCTCAACGATATCGCCAAGCAACGACTCCTGGTGATGCCTATAGCGCACAAAAACACTTCGCAGAATCGAGAGAGCACTCTGTTGCAGCGATGTCGCGTACGAGCTGTGTTCTAGAGAAAACAGTTCGATCATTGAGGAAGAAAGAAAAGATATCCATCGATCTGAGAGTTTCAGACTCAGGATTAGCGCGGCAAGCTGGTCCATGTACTCACATACGACGTGCGAAACTCTGTCGACAGTCTTGCGAATATCTTTGTGTGCCTGGAGGTTCACTCGAGAAGAGCCCAAGGCCTTGCATCCAGTCGACTGCCGCCTAGTGTTTTCTTTTGCCGTCGGCGCGGAAGCGTTCGTGACGTAGGTGGTATCGATACACGGAAGCAGCAACTGACGAATGGTGTGATGAAGAAGTTGGAAGCAGCTATCAATAATGTCTTCCGAAAGCACGCGCCGGTCAATATGGGGCGTCGTCATCACAACGAGCTCACAGATGCCAACATCAAGGGACGCAAGAAGTCGTGAAACAAGTCGATCGTCAACCTTCTTCGGCTGCGACTTTCTCTTCTCAGTGCTGGGAAAAGCAGCTCCCAACACATCCACCGCTAACCCCATCTTCACCTGCGCGTCAAACGCGGTCATTAATGAAATCATCAATTGCGGTTCCAGCTTGTCAATCCATTCGTTCTTTTCCATTGCTCTCAGTGATTGCAAAAGCATCTTTACTTCTTCAGGCTCAAACACGTCCATATTGCCCTCGTCAAACCTCTCGTGCTGCTGGCGACATGTCGCATTATAAGCCAGACTTTCCAGCACCGACGCATACTTTTCAATGTTGTCCGCTGCAATCTCCGCTTGAGTAAAAAGCGTCGCGAGCTTTTCCTCGTCTTCCGTGTCCACGTCCATCTTCCCTTCGGCGTTTACCTCATCCACACAAGTCGGCACTGCACCTGCTTCGTTCGCTACCGAGATTTTACGCTTTGCAGCGTCCAGCGATCGTCTCTTTTGAGACCGCCCGCACTTTGGTTCGTGCTCTGCTTCCGAGCGGCGCTTGACTCCACGAGCTTCTTCACCTGACACCACACCACAAGAAACAACCGCCCGTTTGTTGTCCCGTCAGTACCACAGCATCGACACGAGCAGCACACACGAGCTTGCAGGTCCTCATCATGTCCAAACCATTGAAACAGCCGGTCTGCACGACTGCCTGCGCCCACTTGGGCAGCGAGTTCAGTGTGTCTGCGTCGATCCCCGTTGTCTCTTGTGCTGAGCCGCAGTGTTTCCTGTACATGACAGCGGTAGAGCACATACAATTTTGCGGTACAAAGGTCGTAGTTGGTATATATTGCACAAGACAGACGTGCGCAAAAGCAACTTGTCGCACCCGAGTCCATTGGTCGCTGCAGAGCGAATGAGAGCTGCTACCCGCTGCGAATCGAACGACTCCAGTGCTGGCATAGCGTCTGAGGCCACGGGATGCAGCGTCTCGCGTACGTCGGCAGCCAATGCGTCCTGTGCGTCCAAGTGCAACGGGAAGAGGTAATGCGCGCTCCGCATGGTTTCCCTTGGCTTAATGCAACGCGAGAGTGATTGTTTTTTGAAGTGCAATGTGCAATTGGTGGACTGAATGTGGCAGCAGTTGGCGCGACATTCCATTCGACTACCTTACCCCGACCATGCAGCTGCGTCGTTTGGGCTCTAGTGCTGGTGGGAGGACCGTTTGACGGCGCTTGACGTCAGACGCTTGTTCCGTCCACGGGGTGTGATGGCCTTCGACTGCATAATCGTGTACACGATGCGTATCTAGTGCATCCGCGACGATCGAAAAGTAGCTACATTTAGTGACAAATTGTATCCGATCTACCCATTCACGTGAAAAAGTGGCGTACCATGTTCCACATCCAGACGCAGTGCAGCATCAGCTTCAGTGCGGGTAGCACTTGGACGCCTTCTGTCTCATAGAGGTGATATAACGGTATGAAGACGTCGCCGTAGAGCACTACGGCAGACACGAACAACGCCAAGCGGACAAACTGCTCCGTGTTAGATTTCGATCGTGCTCGACCCTCGCCACCGCAACGTACCAGCTCCGTGCTACGAAAATACACCAACTGCACCGCCGCTGCTGCAGCCAGCCGTGCCGATTCTGGCTTGTCGTAGTCGATCGTGCAAGCCACACCGAGCGACCCCACCACGGCCTGTATTGTAGCAACAGGGTTGGTCCAATGTCAGGGGCTTGACTACAGGGCGATGGTCGAATCGACGACATGCGGACTTACAAACTGGATGTAGACAGCGGCATCGGTGGAACGCGATCGACCGACTAGCGACGCTGGGCCCCATAAGATGCGGTCGAGCTCAGTATGTTGCAGCACTACCATCGCGTGACAAGCAGCAGCAGCAGCATGTAATGCAGTCACTGACGCACGTCTTGTCGGGTGATTGGTTGATAATTGACGCGACAGAGCAGAGCACTTCGTAGGTGCTTGGCGATGGTCATCAATATGACTGATACTGTCTGCTGTGCGATCACTTCCCATGTAGTTCCACCATACGGAGGCACATTTGAGCTGGTGGTCTCGAATCGAGGGACCAAAACATTGACGCTGAACCGGCACGGTCTTCTTCGAGGTCTTTTGCAGCTACATTGGCGAAACCCGACGCTAGCAAAGACCAGGTCGGTGTTGAATCGGCCACATTGGCGCGCCTGGCCATCACATCGTTTACAACGTGCAACGGGTGCGAAAATGCAGATGACATCGCTCGGCCTATGGCAACCGCCATACAAGTGCCAGTGACACGCAATCTGATCGAAGTGCCTGTGGTTCGGTGACTTTCAGGCAATGTCGCCATCAGGACCAACGAGTTGTTGCAGGTGGAAGTATCGAGCCAATACTTCTTTTGTCATCGCAGATGCTTTCTACGCTAGACGATAGCTAGTATACATGACTGCTGTCTCGTTTTGTCTACAGTGCACGGGTGCAACATACGTATGCGACTGTTCCGTTCGTCTGTTCAGTTCGTCTTGAAAATGAACAAACTGGTCTGCACAACCTTATGATTTCGCGGATGTGTCGAGTTGTCTGTCCGGGTCAGCTTTTCTATCGAAGGGCAACTCGACCTCAGCATCGGCATTCTCTGGCACAAGTATCAACGACATTTATTCCTTTGCATCGTGACTTGGCTTACGCTAGCAGCATGTGTGCAGGCCTTCGCAGAAACCAACAATGTGACCGGAGCACCTATCAGTTCCTAGCAGTTCAGTGATCACCGTTTGCGCCGGACTATCACAGTGGTTGCATGTATGTTGAAGCAACTCATATTGCGGTCATCTGACAGAACTACATCATATATTGATCTACGGGCGGCATGAAGCCAAGGTGGTTCGCTCAAGTAGCGTCTCTGGCTGGAAATGGTTGTCACGGCTGCACGCTTGTCGACGAAAGAGCACTTTTACGGCAATATGGTACCTTGCACCACCGTAAGTCATCGCAATGATTCGCTTTGTGGTAGCACCATTTCCTACTGTACCGCACGAGGTACCTCAACAAGCAGACGAGAAGATCGATGGTCTATTGATAAGTTGCTAGACGTATATGTGGATCGACCTCATCTTGTTTTGATGGGCTGCAACTACACGGGAAGCTTTATCGTAGGAGGCACGTTTACAGTATCATTGGACTGCTCAAAAGCTATGGCAACACAAGCTCATCGATTGGCCACGCATGGCGCCGAGGGGCTTGTATCGTTAGCTGCAGCTACCATCCTGCTAATTCTGTGCCCACAACAGGCATGCACGCAAATATTGTTGACGACAAACTACGGCAATTCAAGCGTACCTGACATATGACAGGTGCGCTGTACGCAAACAGCAATGTGCACGCGAGAAGTGACCGTGTCTCGTTAAAGTTGCGTGCCGGCTTGCTCTGATATGCACTGAGGGAGGGTACGATTCAGCTCCCAACATTGGTGACCGCCGTGTGCGATGAAGTGAGACCTGTTGCTGCAGGATACAGCTACATGATCAGCAACAGTGACAGAAGGAGAGACATATTGATCATGTGCCGGCTCTATTTCCTTCCATTCTGCTTCCGACTGTACATGACATCGGCTCGTCGAGCGAGCTTGTTGCATGAGGTCGTCACATTTGACCAAGCAGTTCCTAGTTACAGCTACTAATACCAGAAGCGATTGTAGTGCTTCGTGTGGCACTTGCTGTACTTGCGGTAAGAAGTTTATCGTGAAATGTACAGCGTTTTGGCATACTGCACTTCAACGTGTCTAACATAATACTGCTGGGTCACTGTAACGGGGCAGCCCGTTACATGATATTGTCACTTAAGGAAAGTGACAATAAAGAATATAAGATGGATATTCTTTAAACAATATCACCAAAGTGGTGATATTGAAGGGTCGACCAAAGGGTCTGTTCATTGGTTGATATCGTGATGATATCAACCCACCAATCGCCGCAAGACGCGCGCAATGAGTGGTGACGAGACGTCACCATACATGCAGTTATATTAGTATAATTGAATTAAGTCAAACGAAGAGACAGTAGTTTAAAGACTTAATTTATTAATATAACAGTTCTACTTTTACCCTACCTACGCTTCCTCGCTCGCCACGTGTACGTCCGTCGGGGCACCCAAATCCCTTGCGTTAAGTTACGCAAGGGTGTGCCCCGTTACACCTGGTAGCACTTCGTAGTCCTTCCAAGGACCACATCATCCAACATGAACATGTTGGATGAAGAAGACACCTTTCACGCCACGCGTGAAGGGTTTACCCATTTGAGTGACATCGAATGGGGTGTGGTAGAACGAATGAGTTCTACCGTAGGCGAACTCGTCGTTAGCACCATGTTGGAGTCTCTAGACAGAGACCAACAACATTCTGCTATCGCCAAGTTCATTCAGAATGAACTTGCTCTCGAGAGGGAGAAAGTAGCCTTGCTTCACCAGCAAGGCTCTCAACAGGCCGAGCAGTTGAGAGAACTCGGTGCTCAACAGACGGAGCTGTTGAGACAGCAGCAATTCCATGCTGCTGTGGGCGGGACGGCGCATGCGCGTCGTCCCGAAGTGATGAAAGTCGACATCTCCAAGTACAGTGGAGTCCCGGAGGACTCCCTGTTACTATGGTTTGTCGAACTCGACAGAGCCCTAAGGGCTCGTCGCGTCGAAGATGAGCAAATGAAACTCACATTTGCTCAGACCCACTTGCCAGGGCGTGCCAAAACTTGGTCCCTGGGACTCGAGAGTAGCGACCCAAATGTGTTTAGGTCGCTAGATGACTTCAAGTCCCGGCTCAGACAAACGTTTGAGCCGCCACGTGCTGAGTTCAGGGCTCGTTCAGAGCTCCTGAAACTCAAGCAGGGTAAGCGTGATGTGCACGCTTACGCACAACATATACGACTCCTTGCGAGTAGTATAACTGCAAACCCAGTTCATGAACACACGTTGATTACGGTGTTCATGCAAGGGCTCGCAGAAGGGCCCGTCAGGAGCCACCTGTTCCGCCTTGAGCTGAATACGCTTGAAGAAGCGATATCAGCCGCGGAACAGGAAGACTTTAGCATGAGACAGGCTCATGCTAGCTCAAACTCTTACCGTCCACCGAGACGACAAGAGATCGGAGGTCCAGAACCAATGGACCTCTGTTATGTTGAGAGCGAGAGACCTCGCTCTACAAGCAACAAGCGATTGCAGAGGTGCAATCGCTGTCAGAAGTTAGGGCACTACGCATACGAGTGTAGTGCTCCGCGCCCAGTACCAAACAGTACTGAGCGAAATGGACGACCATTCGCCAGAAAGGGCAATGGGCGTGGGTCCAGCGCTATTGCGAAGCCGCAACAGCGAGACGGGCCATCAAAAAATGGTCGGGGTCAGTAGGGGCGGAGCGCCCTACTGATCCAGCAACCTCAAGAGAATTTGCAAACCTCTTGACGAAAGTTGCTCCAGATACACAATCATTGTGTGTCTCTGCACCTGGTGATGACGTTTCGCTCATCACCTTGAAGTTGGAAGCGACAAATGACTTGTCGCTTCGTGCCCTAGTAGACTGTGGGGCGTCGAACAACTTTGTTCGTCGCCAGTCACTAGAGGGTCGTAGGCTCAAGTTCGTTGAGCGCGACATTCCCCCTCACAAGGATGACGGTGCGCCTTGCAACAGGCGCATCGATAACCGTTGAGAAACGTGTAGTAGGAATCCACTACACGTTAGAGGGCGAGCAGTACGATGATGATTTCATCGTACTAGATCTGGATGACAAATTTGATGTCATCCTGGGATTACCTTGGCTCAGAAAATACGAGCCAAGGGTGAGCTGGCAGCATCGATCCGTGAAGATGCCTGCTGCTTGTTCATCAGATGGCCATCTGATGAACATCTTGGAGCGTCCACAAGCGTGTGGATGTTCTGCGAGTGAGTGCGATGGCCTCACTTGCGGTACGGTCGTTAGCACGACTGCACAAGGTCACAGTGTAGTTGATCACTACACTGTGGAGCAAGCTCCCGGCGGCTGTACAGAAGTACAGGCTGCGCCGAAGGTCCACCACTCGAATAAGTCGAGTGGACCGGGACATGGATGCATGCCTAGCGGGCAGCATCTTAGAAGAAAGAAATCTGTTGCCCCCAAGGGGCAACATGAAAATCCTAGGTCGACTGGAGAGTCGACCGTAGAGGATCGGTTCCTGACTGTGGTCGCACAGCCACAGTCGGAAGACGTCGAGGGAATAAGTCCCCACGTACTTGAGGAAGGAGTTCCTCAAGAGTTGCTTGCTGAGGGATCAGGCCCTCAGCAACCTGTGGAAGCAAGATCCCAGGAAGAAACCGAGACGTTGAACGTCTTGGTTAATGACGGATCAAGCGTAGGCGCTTATACGCTTGATCTGATTGTGCCTCCGAAGTTGACTTCGGAGATAACTCAGTTGCCAACGCTAGAACCGAAACGGTTCTTGCGTGATCTGCGTAGTGGCAAAGTCAAGCAGATCTGCGTACTCGTCACAGAGGACGAGTATGTGACCGACATTCGGTCGGCAACAGTATTTGCTGAGAACGAACGGGTTCTCAGCAGCTCATCGATGGACGAAAGTGTCCTCGATGAGAAGACTCGGATTGAGCGATACGCGTCCCAATCCTGGGAGTCACTTCAGGCAAATCCTTTGTATAAGGATTTGATCGAATTCAGGGATGTGTTCCCTGAATCCGTACCTTGCGAGTTGCCTAAGGACAAAGGCACTCGACACGAGATCGAGCTCAAACCGGGCTCGAAATACTGTGTCATGAAGCAGTGGCCACTGCCTCGTGAACAAGTGATAGCGATCGACAAGTTCTTTGCCGATCGCTTAGCAGCGGGCCATGTGAGGGAATCAACATCCCC